GGGGAGGATGGGCAGGTGCACTCAGGTCCACAAGGTTCCTACCAAAAAAGTTTGCCGGCCTGTGCTTCTCCTCCCCGGATGTAATGGGTTATTTCTTTGGTGAAATTCCATTCTTCTTCTAACAGATTCTTTAAACTATGGGATGCTTGAGGTAACTGCTGTAGCATTTGGATCCAGCTTCTCATGTAATCAAAATACACCTTAAAATAAAGAAACATAAAGGGAGAGACTTGAGAACAGAACCTGGTGGCTCACAACGTTCACTTGTTGACCTGAGAGCCACAAATGAGAAGGGCAAGGTGGAGGGGACGCTGAGGCACACAGCCCCGAGACAAGCAAGATTCTTCATCACGTCACTGAGGTCTAACAGGGGATATCTCTCTTAAACTGCACGACTCAACACCTTGGCAATTTAACACATTATTTACAATCCCTTCAAATTACCAAGAAAATACTGTTCACAATGTACAAAGAAGTAAAAAAAAATCAAGATGATAACACCCAGAAAATTTAATTATTAATATATTATAAAATTATTCCTTTAAGAGGCTGGGATCTTTACTTGTTTAATTACCTAATTTAACTTTAGACAGTATCTTCCGTGTTGAGACGAAAAGAGCACACTTTTCTCCACCATCCCTTCCTGACACCTGGATTTTTATGACACAGTTGTTTTCAAGATGTATGACCTGTAAGTTATGATCTCTCACCCAAATACCCAGTTTTTCTGAAATGGGGTTTGTGTCCATCACAAATCCTACTGCAACAGCTCCCACCCCTAAATCCTTATTGTGATGTGTCTGCTGCTCCCTAGGGTTTTACTGTCAATTAGCTTTTCTCAAGGCAGGTTCACAACCACTGGATTACAAAAGCTCACTGTCTGAGGATTCTCTGACAGGACAACTTGACTGAGTATAAAATACCTGAATTACACATTCTCAGCTTCAGAACCTTTCAGGCACTGCTCCTCAACTACGGTATGCCACCATGTGTTGTTCAAGCGAAGAAACCTGATGCCAGCCTCGTCTCCCGCTGTCTCCACTCTCCTCAAACCCTGGGGCGACTTGCTTTTTCTCTGCTGGGGGATTTACAGGATTCTGGACCTAGTCTTGGATCTCCGTGACTTCCCCAGGCCACATCTTAGTGTTCACTGGACTGAACGTCTTCTGAAATCCAGTACTAATTTTCAGTAGGAAAATTTCAGGTCTTTATTTCAGAAAAAAACATCTTCTGTTGTGTCTCTGGATGCCTCTATTGGTGTGCATCGGCAGTCTGGGCTCCATTATGAACAGAGGAGTCTGGGTACATGGAACTACAATGTATGGGTGTACCCCCTTCTTGTCCAAATGAAACAAACTCTTAAATATGAGGCCAGGACCCCCTCTGGCTTCGCGGAGTGCTGCTGCTTCTCTCCGGGCCCCCTCAAGCCCGGCTGTCTCCCGACGACTGCACCACCCCCTCACAGCCCTGTCACAGGGCACCAGTGCGACCACGTACCCAAGGGTCGCCAGCAGCTGGCATCCTCACGCGCGTCACTGTTACTTTCAAACCACTACTCTTATGGTCTTACTCAACACCGACACAAACGAGATGCCTTCCCTTTTGAGACCTGCGTCATCAGATATACCATCAAACCTTTTGTTCGTCCCGTCACCTACTGATTTCCGACTGCCTGTCATCCTGTCACTCACTTGCTGGCGTCCAACACAGTCTTCTCTCCACCTCAGGTTCAGCCACCACGCTGTGACTCATCCCGGGTCTTGTCATTACAGAGGACCTCCAGGCCCCAGACCATCTGTCCAAACACCAGATTCTGAAACCTCCTCACCTCCTTCTGGTTTTCTGTTCAACTGCCACCACCACGACCGATCTCCTATTGAATTCTCTTACTGAAACCTTATCTGAACCCCAGTCCATGGGTTTCTCTTCTTCTCCAGTTCACTGCTCCCTTCTTCACTCCCTCTCCTGCTAACTGGGCTCAGAGCCCACAAGGTCAGTTCTCTACACCACTGCCGCCACCCCACACCCTGCCACCCCCCTTCGGCTCACCTGCCTGCCGATGTCCACAGCACAGTGAGCCCTACAAGCCCGCGCCCCACATTCAAGCTGAGGGTCGTGAGGGTCCCGGGACGGGGAGGAGCCCTGCTCTACAGGTCATGACCCTGACCACATGGTGTGTGCGACGCTTCTATCTCCACTCGACCCGTTTTCCTTCTCTCTACACCACAGTTTGAAATATTCCATTTTCCTCAAACTGCCAGTGCCCACTCTCAGCCTTTCTCAGCAGACAATCTCACCCCTCCTAACAAAGAGAAGTCCCTAGATACAGTATCCCTCATCTCCTCAACTCCAAAACGCACCCTGACACGTGACCTCTCCAACCTCAACTCTTGTGTTTTGAGACCAACCTCCTCACGGCATCTGAGGAAGCTCGCAGTATCGACTTCCCTCCTCTCTCACCCGCATTTCACTGTGTTCATCTCTCTCCCTTAACAGAGTCGATCCCGAAGGCTTTCGCATGGTCCCCAGTAAGTTCTATGTGAAAAGTCCCACAGTCTTCCTACTGGGGCACGAGCCGCAGGCCTCTGCTCTCCCTCCTGTGTCTTCTGCAACCACCACATGTTGCTCATCATAATTGCATTTTCATTCCTTTTAAGTTCCTTTTATGTGGCTTCCTTAGATCAATCACAAGCTCCTACATCTCTATCATGTCCACTGTTTTGGTTACTTCTAAGACCAGGGCCAGAGAAATGAGCGGAGACCGTTTTGGCCTCAGTCTGCCTCAAGCGAACACTCACCAGGTCACGCCCTGGAGCTGCGCGCATGAGGGCTTCCGTGCCGAGTCAGAACGATGACGAAAACGGAGTAAACCCCGAAGTCACAGACACTCTGCATCACAACCTGCTCATCGGCCTTCCCGTCACCCTCCGCAGCAGCAGATTCGTTCAGACAACAGAGGTGTGTCTGCTCATGCTCCCATCTTGCAGACAGGCCACCAACAAGTCCTCTATGGGACCCCTCCTGCTTCTCCCCGGACTGCTCACACCCCCTCACATCACCGCTCTAATGGGTCACTGGACAGGCTGTGAGATCTGCAGAGCTTGCATCTATCCTCATTTTAGTTCAAACTTCAAGGCAATAATTTTAACAGTCTTTTGGTCAGGCAAGGAGAGAACAGTGTGCCAAATTTCCTCCTTTATTGAACACGGAATTTTTTCCTTATTCTTCATTCCTTTTGCCATTTTTTGGTGAGTTTCAAGACAAGGGTGTTGTGGTAAACATAACGTGATTGGAAATTTGAAGGCCGTGCTCTCTTTCCTTTCTATCAAAAAACACTGATCGTGTTTGGGTTCCCTCAGGTGCCATTAGCCACTGAACGCACTTCGGGGCACAATTCTAAACCCACTGATAACTTCTAGCTCTTCATGTGCAAAATCATGGAGATTAAACTAAGCGAGCTCTTGTGTCACACAAATCATTGTACCAAACCAAAGCGAAATCCCAAGCACTCTGGGCTCTATGGAGCTGCTGCGAATTTTGGTAACTCCCTAAACCTGGCCTTCAGACACCCCACATGCATACCACGGCCACTGAAACTGAATGGCCTGGAAGGGCACACTTCGTCCGCCTGACTCTCCTCCTTCCTGCCTCAGTGACCGCACGATAAGGGTGCTTGTGCTGGTGTTTGTAAAACCATCAAAGAGAGTTTGGAAAGCTTTTTGTCTTTTTAAACTCCTGGTTTAGCCATCCATTAAGAGAAAGAGAAAAAATAATTTGCTTTTGTTTTTTATCATGACTTTCAATGATAAAGACTTTTCTGACTAAGAAAGACATCGTACTGAGGAGGGGCCAACACGGCAAGAAGTAGGGGGCTCCGTACCTCCCGCGTCTCTCACACAAAGAAGGGCCGAAGCCACAGAACCCAAGAGTCTGGGAGGAAAAGAGGCGGGTCTACTAGGAAGACGGCCTCCTAGGTGGGTGATTGCGAACTGGGGGAGATAAAACGGGCCGCGGAGACACAGAGGGGAGAGATCCCCTTCTGCAGAGAGACAAAGGGAAGAGAAAGAGCGGCTGGGAAACAGAGGACTGTGTCTGGACAAGAGGAAAACCTTAGCCCAGGCGGAGATGGATCGATCATCCCATCTCTAACCGCAGGGCTTTCTTCAGACTGGGGCCGGCTGCCCTGTTTCACACCCGGGGAGGGGGGACTCCCCTCCGGGTTCAGTGGAGGTCAGGGGTGCAGTGTGCAGCAGGAGACCCCGGTCCCCGGCCCTGAAGTGCTGCGGCACGGCCGCAGGAGCACATTTCGGGCAGCACTGTTAACGCGCACTGAGCAGGAGTTTAAAACCTGGCCAAGCACGGGACACAAGAGATGGCCGAGCGAGACAACCACCTCGTCTGCGCCCGCGGCAGTGAGGACGAATCCAGAGGGCTGACTCGGGGCACCTGGTCCGTGAAGAAGGGACTGGGGGGCCATCATTCTCCCCACAACCACCAAGGCAGAGCCGCAGGGATCGGCCCTCGGGCCCACAGTGGCGGCGGGAAGGCCTACACCAAGCCACGCCCCTGCGTGCTGGGTAACGCTTCTCTCCTGGGGCCGGAGACACTGCAGAACCAGACGGCCCCCCGCAGCACCCCCAGACCAGCACCGCCTGGAGTAACTATGGGTCAGTTCTTGGTATTCAGATACATTCTCCCTTTTCGCCTCCTTATTTCCTCTGTCCTCTAGGCTGGCTACTCTGGTTGGTGGTTTGCTTAAACAGACATAATGAATCCATTCTCTTGATGCATACTCTATACCTCTTCCTTTCCTTTCTCTCTCTGGAATAATCAGGTCTGGGTGACTTTATCTTCGTTTCTTTTCCCTTGCCTCCTTCCTTATTCTCTTCTCTCTCTCTGGATTAAGCCTTTTAGTCTCTCTGTGGTCACTGCTCATGTTTTCTCTCCCCTTTGTATACACTCTTCCATCAGCACTGCCTCCAACCTATTCTTTACTGGTTTTTTGCTTTTAGATTTTTTTTTTCGTTTTTGTCTGTTTGCCTGTTTCTTTTGTGTGTTTGCGTGATTTTGTTTCCTGTTTGTCTGTTTGTTTTCCTTTCCGGGGCTACTTCAAGGAAAAAACGAAAGCACACCTGGTGGAGGGTCCAAAACATCACTTCGGGTAGGGATATAAAATAAACAAAGTCACAACAACAGAGAG